AGAATTCAATTCTGAAACTCATTATTGCATTAATACACTTGACAATAGCTGTTCTATTACTCTGATCTTGTTTGATAAGCCGTGAATTCACATTTTCTCTCTTGAAACTTTATTGCGGTGATAAAGATAAATGAGATCGCGCTACTTTTCGATAGGGTGTGAGTATGTAGTTGAATGTGTTCTCTTTACTCACATCACATATAAGCCCTAATTGAAAATCAGTTCCATAGTAAAATAACCGTTAAGCAACACTAACTGTCCAGCTCTATTAGTGCTTAGCGCTTTTCTATTTCGCATTATATATCAGACTTAAATATGGATATATAGCTTAAGAGACACAGATAGTAGACCATATGATTATGACTAGTACAGATGTTCTAATTTTGACAAACAATAACTCATTCTTTGAAGACAATAACGACTAAGATGAATAGAAAAAAAGCGTAACATGAAAAGAAGAAAAAAGAAAGGTTGATTTCAATGAATTAGAGTCACCGCAAAAGGAGAAAAGCGTGCTTTTTTATTTCATCTTATTTATATACCGTGCACGAAAGAAATGGCCCAGATGAATAATCCTTCTTCTGTGAAAGTTATTCCAGGAGAAGACATGATTACAAACAAGGTCTATTTCGTGCAAAATTTTCAATTATTTCTTAATATACTGTTTCATATATATACGTTCAACGAAAGTTCATGTGTAATAGCAATCAAGTTGTCAACTGCAAGAGGATAGATGTGGATGAGTATCTTTATTCTACTCATATCACTTGCTAATTGAATTAATTGGCTTATCTCCCTTCAAATGATGGAACACGGTGAGCTCTGACTTAGATAACCATCTATATACTATGTACTTAGACAATTACGTAGACTGTTAGTATGAATGCAGTGATTATTCAAATTTTGTGCCAATGACAGTGTACTTATGATATTTAAAAGTCCAGATGCGTTAAAATATATAAGGTTTAACACAGATTTCTGAATTTAGGGTAATTCTCATATATTTTAATCGTATTTCATGAAGTTTAAGAGTAGCTTTGGATACAACGGCCAAAGCTATTTCTAACACAAAATTTCAGGAACTCATATATTCTAAATTATACATGAAATGGCGCGTTGAGAGGATAGATAGACAGTTAGATAGTTCATTGTTACGATAGTTAGAGAACTACTAAGATACAGAAATAATTTGCTAAGCAGTTTGCAATCTAGGCACATTGATAAAGATGGAGGAAATGATAAGATTTATGAGAAGTCTATTATTGAGTCTTATATCATTCGCATAATTTTGTAAAGAATACAAGAGTTTAATTATTAATGTTATTCATAAGAAGTTTTTGATTTATTACCCTCATAAACAGTAAGATAAAACGTTTTATGTGGCGAAAATATCTAAAAAATCGGTACGAATAATGGTAATAACCTCTTTATCTTGATGAATCCGTATGAACTGTATTGGATTGGACATTCTTTCCATAGTGTTTATTATCTAGGTTTTTTAAAAGTGCAGCATCTCTACTCAAGTTAAACAAACACATCATTACAGACCTATCCGCTGACGAAAATCAATAAATCGCTCTGAGTTAGTATCAAAGTTAATGCCTCTTTTTTTTGGTTCTGTGCGAAACCAACTCTGTTTAGCTAGTCTATACTATCCTTATAATATCATAATTGTTATGGATGCATATCTTCTAAAGCTGTATCGATTAATAATTGTAGACGTGTTGTATTCACAATTATAGACGCATCATTGCGAGTATCTTTAGCGCCCGGAAAGTCAAATTCGAAATCCTGTGATCCATACACTTGGTAGTAGTGTTTTCGAACATGTGGAAAGTGATTTAAAAATGCACCTTCCATTGAGGCGCTTTGTCCTCGTTTAAATCCATAATGATCGTGAGTTGCATAGTAATCCATAACTATTGCATGCGCAAAGCGAGGAAGCAGTGGTATTATCAGTGAAACACCTCCACATGGCGTTATCAGAATAGTAGTAATTAAAAGTTTCTCAATTTGTTTATTGAAGGGAATATTTTGCCATTCAACAACTTCCGTGTCTATGGTTGGATAACTCTTTCGAATGAAGTTCACAACTTCTTTCAGATTGGCTATTGCCCTATGTCTGTTTGATGCTGGATTTGTCCATTGAGAGTATGATTTATTTGTTATGACAATTTTATGCTTATTTGGAATAAATTCAGGATCAAAACCATTCTTTGATATAATTTTAGACCTCCAATTATAGAAAAGTGGTTCTCGCCCATGGTTTTCTTTAATAATGGATGGTTTGAAAACGCTTAATTGACCACCTGCAAACACTTTTTCGAAGCATACAAACTTGGTCTTGAAAGATCTAATATAAGTACCGAATTCAACCATTGGTGTTTCAGTCAACGCAGGAATAATATATTGTTGATATGAACGAAAAATGGCTGTTTCAGGTATCTTATTTTTGTGCATAATCACTAACTGTGGATCGAATTCATTTAGTCGTTCCATTGAATACGAGATAGAACCCAAATCTTCCCAAAGTCCATGGCCAATGTTGGAAGCACCTAACGCATCTGCCCAAATTGTATGAAGACGAGAAAGTCTAGTCATATTTCTTACTGGATATGTTTCATTGATAATAACTGGTGCCCACGATTGGCCCCCTCCACTCGATAATGAAAGGAAACCCGAGCCATCATTCTTCATGCCAAACTGAAATAACATACCGTAGTTTGCATCATAGAAAATAGGTCGTTTCTCTTTAAGAAACAACGGATAGTATTCAAAGCGTTGAGCATCGTTATTGTAACATATATCATTAAATATACATAGTCGATCTTGCCAAGATTCAATATCGTTTTCTGCCCCAGTGCAGCGAAATGTTGAGTGATGTTTACGTTTATTATCCTTGATTAACGGCATTGATATTATCTTATTGAGAGTACGATTGATATTCCCCAAACTCACCGACCACGAAAATTTATTTTCACTAGTTTGAAATACACTGACGAATATAGCAACAAGGAAAATCATGATAAGAAACAGTAATATTCGACATCCAATGTAAGATACAGTGTTCCAACACATTGTAGTATCAATTTAACGATTGCAAATGAGTTTTGTCATCTAAAAAGTGGCAAGTAGCATAACTGAATCTTCCAAATATCTTGCATAGTATTTCGACCTGTGCTGAGAACAACTGATGCCGAAAAACCTGCGATACTGGTACCGGTTAATCGTGGTAAATTGTAGAAATTGATAGAAAATCATGAAAAGTGACAATTAATCGTAATTAATCTAGCAGAAACAATTTGAAACTAGCCAAACTGAGTTTTTCGTCTACAGTTTTCTTAAGATATTCGCAAAGGTAGTATACGAAACTAAACTAATAATTAATCGTGAGAAATAGGGTAGCTAAGCTTCTCAAGACTAATTAAATTGTTTATATAAGTCTGTTGAATTAAAACTATATTATTTTGTCAATATAGAGATAAATAACGGGTGGGGCAAAAGTTTTGCATTAATTTTGTTTTTGATATAGCTCTGGAACGCAATGTCGTAGAGATTTCATTTTTTTTTGTTAGAAAGAGCAAAGTGTCTAGTGCAAAAATATATAAAAGAATTTGATTGGGTATGTTTTTCTAAGATCACAACAATCTTAGAACAGAAGGCGTCAGAAAACTCTTCCGCAACTTTTTTTATACTGAGAAAAAATTTCCTATAATTAGACAGATTCTCTTTTTATTCGTCTAATGCAGATTTTATAATGCAAGGACAGAGCACTACTGCTTTACAAAAAAAAGAAATTTTCTACATGTTTTATAACGGTAGAAATGAAGGCCTTTATCATACCGTCTGAGTCAACGATTTTTCATCACTGTTGATAGCAGTCGAAAAAATAAACTCTATTTCGCAAGAGAGGTTGCCAGAAGCTATATATTTTATATGAAAAAGAAAGCTTATTGAGTTCTCTACCAAACGATATTATTTGGAATTGGACACAACTTCTCTGTGAGATATTTAGACAAGAACTTGTTTTCCCGATGCAAAACTAAATTCGAACAATTAATTTTTTCTAATCAAAGTGTCTTTTGTTCATTCTCTTGTATGTTATACCAATTATTTTAATACCAAATGAAAGCCTTCGTTGTACTGAACCACTATATACAGGGTGTTACATAACCTTTACGCCCCCCTCTACAACTTAAACTATAAATGATACCCACAAGGTATTTTATACCAAATTAAAGCGCATCGAAAACTGCATCTATCGGTACTAAATAGTGAAGGTTATGAAAATGTTTCAATGTCAAACTTAAAAAATTTTACACTTTTGGCGTAGAAAATTGG